GGCACGGTCTCAGCTCACTGCAACCTCTGCCTCCCAGGTTCAAGTGATTCTCATGCCTCATCCACCCAAGTAGCTGGGATTATAGGCACATGCCACCACGCCCAGCTAACTTTTGTATTTTTAGTAGAGATGGGGTGTTGCCATATTGGCCAGGCTGGTCTCAAACTCCTGGCCTCAAGTGGTGCACCCACCTCAGCCTCCCAAAGAGCTGGGATTACAAGAGTGAGCCACTGCATTCAGCCTGTAAAATTGTTTCTTATTATGACCTTGAGGGAACTCTTTTTGCAAAATTCTATTATAAAAAAATTCAAACCTACAAAATAGTTGAAAGAATTGTACAGTGAACACCCACCACCTAGATTGTACAGATAATATTTTGCCATGTTTTATTTATTACATAGTTACCCATCAACACATTCCTTTATCCATCCATCAATATATTTACATGCTTTTCTAAGTAAATTGCAGACATCAGCACTCTTTTTGTTTTGTTTTGTTTTGTTTTAGAGACAGGGCCTCACTCTGTCACCCAGGCTGGAGTTCAGTGGCACGGTCATAGCTCACTGTAATCTCTAATTCCTGGCCTCAAGTGATCCTCCTGCCTTGGCCTCCCAAAGTGCTGGGATTACATGTGTAAGCTGCTGTGCCCAGCATACTGTTCTTTACCCCTAAACACTTCAGAATGAATGAGAGTTCATTTGTCTACTATTGTGGTAAAATCCACAGGCAGTGAAATATACAAATTTTAAGTGTATACTCACTGAGTAATGAGGTTTTGATCTGTGTAAATCAAAGTCCTATCAAGACAGACGTCACTGTTACTCCTAAAGATTTCCATCATGCGCCTTCCTAGTGAATACCCCAGCACATATAACCACTGCTCTGATTTGTTTCACTATAGATTGGTTTTGCACAGAATAATATGTCCTAACATTTGTTTCTTCATTCAATAACAGATTTATCCAGTACCTATGATAGCTCACAGACATACATGTGATGTCTCTTCAATGTGAGTAATCAGTTCTCCCAGACTGACCAAAAAGCTGAAGGTATTTCTAAGGCCTGGCCTGTGACCTCCTCCCCTCTGCCCTGCAATCATGTTGTCACTGAGATACCATAGACAGCTGGGCCTCAGAAACAGAAATGCAAGTCCTGTGTCCCATTTGAGCCCTGGGCTCCTTCCTGCCCATCACTCTCCACCATCCAAACTGGCCCTGGAGGTCTCTTGCCAGCTGCACACCCACATTTACTCACTTCCCACACCAGGGCTTCATCCGCATTTCTCTAGCCAGGTGTCCAAGTGAGTGTCACAATCTCAGTCCAGGCCATGGGTAAAAGTACTGGTGGGAGGGCAGCTGGAAGGAACTGGACAAGAAGAGGCATTATGTGGTCCTGTAATTCTGTGGAGGGGTGGTACAGGGGCGGAGACTAGGTAGGGATTGGGGAAGAAAACATGAAGAGAGGAAACATCACAGACTCCTGAGCAATCAGGGCTGGGCATTGGAACAGTGCTTACCTGGAGCCACTGGAACCCTGGGCACAATGCTCTTGCCTTCTAAGAAGGACCTCAAGACTGCTCTGGAGGTCTTTGCTGTTTTCCAGTGGGCCCTCAGTGCCTTACTTATCGGTGAGTCTTCAGCCTTTGGTAGGGTGACCAATCATCCTGGCTTGCCTGAGACTGAAGGATTTTAGGGTTGCAGGATGTTCAATGGTCAAGCTAGGGTTTTTCCAGTGAAACCAAGAAGGTTGCTTACACCAGCCTCTGGCCTGACCCACTTGGCCATGATATCTGTGGGATCCGTGAGTATCCTTGTGGGCATGTACGTGTGCATATGTGTGTGTGCCTATGCAGGGGTGTGTATATGCGTCTGTGTGCACATGTGCTTTGCTGCAAGTGTGAGCCCTCTTGGGTCTACACTGGGGTGTAGAAAGCATGTTTTGGGTAGATGAGGAGCAGTTCCACTGAGGCTAGCCAAGGAAAAGGGCTTAGCTGCAATCACAGGGACTCAAGAAAGCCACCAGTGAGAGACAGTTGGGCCAGGTGGCAGACCAAGGCTCTGGAAACTTCGTCCAGAGCAATTCAGCCATTTATCCATCCATGTCTTCCAACATCTACACTACAAACAGTTTGTGAAAGTCATTTCTATGCTGACCACTGTGTTCTAAATGCTGAAACAAATCATTACTGTGGGAAGGGGTCCTGGAAAACATTACCGCCTTTCTAGCGGTTCAGATGAGTACCGGCTGGAGTCAGGGACATGAATTAATTGACCTTGTAAGCTATCTAGGAATAAAGAATGCAGGTAGGCCCTGGTGCACAGAGCTGGCACAGAAGCATGTCAGTGAATAGGGAGGACAGGCATTCCTTACCTCACCTCACCTGTTTTCAAATTCCAGGTCTACTATTTACTATCTGTGCATTTGTTAGCAAGGTATTTGTCCTTTCTGGGTCTTATTTTCCTCATTTGCAGAGTGGGACAATTTAGGATGTATTAATCAGGAAGGTCTAGGTATGCCATGGTGACAAATTTACTCTGAAATCTCAGTGGCCTAACCCAACAAATGTTTATTTCTTGTTCATGTTGAATGTCCAACAGAGGTTGGTGGGAGTCACTGCTTACTGTGGACACTAATATTCAGGCTGATGGAGGCACCACCAAATTGTGTCACTGCAAAATGGGGCTTGAGGGATCACCACAGTATGGGAGGGAAAGTGAACGGAGAACTCATCTGCAGTCCTTACTACCGCCACCCAGAAGTGATAGGCAAGAAAGCACGAACTGTCGCCTCATTTTGAATGTCCTTAATTACTGATGAGATTGAACATCTTTTCATGTTTATCAGCAACTAGTATTTCTTTTTCTGTTAACTGCCCATTTATGACTTCTGCCTGTTTTTCTCTTGAATTTGAGTTGACTCTTGAAGGACAAATAGGAAATGGGTGAAGAAAGGAAGAGCATTTGGGGCAGAGAGTGGGCAACATATGGAAAAGCTAGGATGGCAAAGGGCATATAATGTATTCAAGGAGCTGCCAGTGGTTAAGTGAGGTGGAGGGTGAGAAGCACAGAATTGGTGCTCAATATGTATTTATTGAATGGCTCAATAAACAAACAAGAGAGGGAAGAAAGAAGAGACTGGAGAAACAGGCAGGGGACAGATTGTATAAGGCTTTGTAAACCATAGAAAGGAGTTTGGACTTTTTATGAGGGCCATGTGGAGCCATAAGGGAGTTTCACACAGGATGATGGCATCACATATTACTCTAGCTCTGTGAAGCAAACTGACTACAGGGAGATAGAAGTGAAATGGGGCAATGCCAGGTAGGAGGCTGTTGCAATAATTCAGATGGCAGTAATTTGGACCAGGCCAGTAGCAATGGTGATGCAGACAAGAGGAAAGCAGAGGGGAGATTCCAGAAATTGGAGTAGAATTAATAGGATTTGAAGATGGGGGGCCTGAGAGAAATGGAGGAAGCAAGACTGAGGGATCAGGTCCCAGTGTGAGCTGGTGGGGAGGGGGGCAAGTGGAGCAGAGAAGGGGTAAGGAGGAGAGTGGCTGAAAGGGGATGTATCCAGGGAGAAAATGGAATCAGAGGATTCTTAACTGAAGTTTGACTTTGGGGTATACAAACAGGTACAGAAAGGGTATGCAGAAGAGCTCTCGGTCTTGGCAGCAGATGTGGGCTGCAGGTGTTTGCCCCTTCCTCACTAGCTCACACAGGGCGACTGGGGCAATGGCCCTTCAGAGGCCTCTCAGCTCTTCAGTCTAGGAGTGCAATTGAATCCATTTGGACCCTAAAGGCCTTGAGAGAAGGCCCTCCCAATAAGTCAGGAAAATAGAGAGGATATTGGTATTTTAGTTCCCATCTTGCAGAGGAGAAACTGAGGTTCAGCAACGTCTTTGGTCACACACAGTAAGTGATAGATCCAAGATTCATCACATCACAGGGCACCCCACCTGAGGCCACACTTACAAGATGTCACCAGCACTGCCTAAATTTGAGCAAAGCCTAAAGGAAACTGGGAGTGTCTTCTGGACCAGACCCATGCCTCTCTTTACTTCTTGAAGAAGTCAGTAGTGTCATATGGTGCTTATCAAAACTCTGAAACTGCTGGCCTTTGCTCCACCCTTAATTCTCTTCCCCAGAGGCAATGCTTTGCAACTTTGTTGGTTCTTTCTTCTGGAGTTTACTTCCACATTTCTAAATCATTATTTGCTGATGTAACAATTTTAGACATTGTCTATTGACTTCCTAACAGGGAAGACGAGAATTTGGCTGTATATACTATCACTAGAACTTCCTCTTCCCCTATCCTCCCAAAATTGTTATACCACGGGGTTTGGTTAAATGCCTATGACTAGAAAATATGATTCATAATTGAGCTATTTAGTCACCAAGATTATATTTCCTTTCCCATGGAATTTCTTGTTTTCCCTGAAGTTAATAATTACCTCATTTTATTTTATTTTTTAAATGCAATATTTTAAAATCAGTTTTTGAATCTATATACTAAGTATTTCACAGAAATAAAACTTTTTCCACTTAACATAAGGATTAAAAATACCTAATGCCAATCCTAGAAGTATCATCATTGCGATTTGACAAAATAATTTCAAAATTTATCTGGAAGAAGAAGCAGTTGAGACTAGAGAAGAGGCAGCACAGTTGTGAACACTCCCTATGAAATGATGGGTAGAAAACTGTTACATCAAAAGCTTCACAAACTCTAGAATTCACAGATAAAATTATTGAGTACAGCTTGGGAGAGAGCTCACGCCTGTAATCCTAGCACTTTGGGAGGCCAAGGCAGGCGGATCACCTGAGTTCAGGAGTTCGAGACTAACCTGGCCAACATAGGGAAACCCTGTCTCTGCTAAAGATACAAAAATTAGCCAGGTGTGGTGGTCCAAGCCTGTAATCCTAGCTGTTGGGAAGGTTGAGGCACAAGAACCACTTGAACCTGGGAGGCGGAGGTTGCAGTGAGATTAGGTCACGGCACTGTACTCCAAACTGGGCAACAGAGCAATAAAAAAATTATTGAGTACAATGGTCTTGAAACAGACACACAAATTTAACATTTCATAGTGAAACATCCTAAAGCCATATAGGAGATGGGTTTCTTACCACAAAGTATTAGGAAAATCATTCATTTCATTCAGAAAGAAAGTCTAGTTGTAGCCATACCGTACACTGAAATGAACTGTAGTTAATTGCCTGATTTTACATTTCTTTTGTTATCTATTAGAAATCTATTATCACGAATTCATCTTCTGAATGTCTGCAGACATGCCAATCTCTCAATATGGGCACACGTGGCAAGAATCTAAGTCCCCGCGTCCTTTCATTTCCTTGAGAACATCGCTGCTGGAACCCAGCGTCTTCCTGTTAGAATTTGGCCTCATGCACAGCTGTCACCTCCAGGGCCCTTGAGGCGCCTTGGGTGCAAAATTTAAGAAGGTGCTCACTCTCAGGGCTATGCAAGTGATGGGCCAGTACTTGCATGGCCCGAGAGTGAGTTTCTTGCTCAGTGTTGTGTCCTGGGCACCTTGCTCACTTCTCGCTAATCCTGGCGCTGCTTGCTGCCTTCCTTTGTTGGGTCCTTTTTTCCCCGGATCCTATGCCTTCCTCTTTCTTGGTTTACTTCCTCATTTTGGTGAAGCACATTCTCCAGTAGTTTTCTGAGACAGGAACATGGGAGACAAATTATCTGAGACTGTGTATCTGAAATTGCCTTTATTCGACTTCTATACTTGATTAATAATTTGGCTGCATATATAATATCTTAGCTGTGCTAGTGTAAGTATTTGAGTCTAGAGTCTGTTTGGTTCAATTTTTCAGGGATAATCCTCCTATCATCTAGTTGTGTAGGGGAGGAGAGGGAGCCTGGGGTTCTAACTAATTCCTTGGCAGACTTTCAACCAATCTCCCAGTTTTTCTAGCCCTGTGCCTGATCCCTGCTTCTTGTGACACCTGATGCCTCCAAATTTTGAGTCTTTCCTAGATTCTTCAGTGCAAACAGGCTCACTTCTTGTAGGCATCCCCCTTGCAGGTAACTAGATTTTAATTTTTTTTTTCTAAGTCAGTTACCCCTTCCTCCATCTGCTTTCCTACATGCAAATGTTTTGCTGATCTCTTATCTGCTGTTGGCATCTCATTAATTCTCTTTCTCCTTGTGTATCTGTGTTAAAAAAAACATTTTAATGATGATTTTCATGGAGCTCGAGCAAGAACTCAAGGCAAAAGCTTGTGTTCAACATGCGATGTTCAATTAGAAGTGTTCTGTCTTTTCTAACCTTTTATTGACCCACTTTCCCAAACAATCTTACCTACAGCTGCCTTAAAAATTGAGTCCAGTCATCATTCTGAGTGTGGCTCCCTATGACTCATCTCTAGTAACTCTTCCTAACTATGTTAACCTACAGTGTTCCTCTCTTATTGCCCAGTACCTTACTCAATTCCGGTTTGTATTTTTCTTTGTTTGCTACCTTGTGTGCTCCCAACCGGGCTAAAGATAGGTCTTGGCTTTCTTTGGTATTCCCTTCACTGATGCCTCAGAGAGAAGATATGGAGAGGAGGATGTGAAGTGGGGGAAAACTGTTCCAGGATTCCCCACCTCTGGTAGCCCACCACTGGTTCACTGCCATTGAACACACTGCAGGCAGAGCCCAGTGCAGTGCTGGAGCAGGGCCCAGGAAGGAGAGGGCTTACAGTGTGAAGCTCAGCTGGGGAGGAAGACACCTTGCCTTCTAGATCTGAATCAGGTTCCCAAGGCCAGATAGGAGAGGGGGCTGGAGACATGGGCAGGTGGGGCCAGGTGCTGGGATGAAGAAGTGAGAGTGTTGAGTGGGTATGGGTGAGAGAGAGTGTGCGTGACCTTGGGGTGGACAGAACTCCGGAAAGAGGGTAAGCCTGATGGACTGCTTGAAATTCATTAACTTTGGGCTGGGCTTCCTGCAGTAATGACTTCGATGGTTGTGAACCTCTACCTGGTGGTATTCACACAATACTGGTTTGTCACTGTGCTTATACTCACCTGGCTGGTTTTTGACTGGAAGACTCCTGAGCGAGGTAAGGGTCCTGCTGGTGCTGTGACAGACATGTCACATGCTCTTTCCCCTTCTCTCATCACAATCCTGAGAGACTCTGGCCAATTCCCAGGCAACCCTTCAGCCTGTCCCTCCCTGGGCTAGAGAGGCTGAGGGAAGGGGCCCTTTTAAGGTGGTAGAAAGGCCCAGATCAGAACTGGAGTAGGTTAGGGAGGGGCAGCTAGTGAAGCAGAAGCTAGGCCTGCCCTGAATTTCCCTGATGTGCCAACCTTGGTCGCTGCATCAGAGGCCAGGAAACAGCATGGAGTGAGAGCACCCTGGGGCAGGCCCACAGTGGGAATGGGCAAAGCTTGGCTGTATTGCTTCTGTTTTCAGGTGGCCGCCGGTATGCCTGTGTGAGGAACTGGAGCCTGTGGAAACACTACTGCGATTACTTCCCTCTCAAGGTCAGTAGCCCCAGGTCCCCACTCAGGCCTGGGTCCAGCTCCGACTTCAGTGCTAGCAGTTGGGTCAGGCTAGGGATGGAGGGTGTCATCCACATTGAGGCTCTTGAGAATGACACCCCCTGGAGTTGTACATTGGGCACCCTGCATGGCTAGCCCTAGCGGTCCTTTTCCTTTTAGGTCTCTGACCAAAAGAGGAGTTCTCTACCCTGGGGATAGCCCTCTTGATTCTACTTTCTTCCACAGCTTCTGAAGACTCATGACATCTCCCCCAACCGCAACTACATTGTCGTCTGCCACCCTCATGGGATCTTGGCCCATACATGGTTTGGCCACTTTTCCTCAGAGGGCTCAGGCTTCTCCAGGATGTTTCCTGGTATCACCCCTTACACACTCACACTGGGCGCCCTTTTCTGGATGCCTTTCCTCAGAGACTATGTAATGGCTACAGGTGAGTTGGCTCCTACGAGACAAAGCCAAAGAAAAATGACTCCCCAGGGGAGAAGTATAGGGGAATGCATGAGAGCAAGGCCAGCTTCTGATCCGCTCTGGTCTGAAACAGCTATCATAGGCTCACTTGCCTGATGTGAGGCTCCTTGCGCTCCCCCTCCTTTGAAGCAGTAGAGAGGAAATGCAGGGGTTTGGGAAGTGGCCAATGGCTGTTTGGCTTTTTCTGTCCCCCAGGGGCCTGCTCTGTGAGTGAATCCTCCATGGACTTTCTGCTGACTCATAAAGGCACAGGCAACATGCTCATTGTGGTGGTTGGTGGCCTGGCTGAGTGCAGATACAGCCTGCCAGGCTCCTGCACCCTGGTCTTGAAGAACCGGTCTGGCTTTGTGCGCGTGGCCCTTCGGCATGGGTAAGGGCAGCTCCGGTCCAGGCTGTGGGAGGGGATCCAAAAGTGTAGCAGGGAAAGAAGAGGGCTTTTTGAGGAAAGGACATCCACGGAGAGAGGAGGAAGTATACAATACCTTCTTACTAACTATGGTCATCAGAAAGACAATTTTTATTTGCCAATTAAAAAATAAATAATTAAAAGAAAAAGGGAGGAGGAAGGCTGCTTCTGGGTTGAAGAGCTTGGGCCAGGTCCTGGAGGCATTTCTGCTGAAGCAGAAAGGGCAAAGTGCCAGCCCTAAGCCTGTTCTCTCTCACACCAGCCTGTCATCTGGGCTGATCCCTCTATACAAGGGGACTGGCAACAATCCTGTCTGAGAGAGAGCCAAGCTTAGCTTGTGTGTTAAAGCAAAGAAAATCAACTGGCATGGCCCTTGGGTCTTACCTTCTAGTGTTTCAGACCCAGGGGTTCCCAGGAGGGTCTGGGTTTGCCTCCTCCTTTAGCTTACTGCTGCTTTGCCCCCACAGGCAGCCAGGGGTAGGCCGTGGAGCCTCCACACTCAACTTGGACCTAGGCACATCTGGGATGGGGTCTGGGAAGCCTGTAGTCAGACCTAGGGATTATGGGCCATCAGCGTTTCTGGCATTCAACAAGGTCCCTAACTTTTTGGGCTTCACGGGACATGCTTTTGCTCTGCAGGGTGGCTCTGATACCTACCTATGCGTTTGGAGAGGCAGACCTCTATGATCAGCACATTTTCACTCCTGGGGGCTTTGTCAACCGCTTCCAGAAGTGGTTCCAGAGTCTGGTACACATCTACCCTTGTGCTTTCTACGGACGTGGCTTCACCAAGAACTCCCGGGGCCTTTTGCCCTATGCTCTGCCTGTAACCACCATCGGTGAGTGGGCCTTTTTTGCCGGCAGCCTCAGTCTAGGACACAGGATTCAGCTCTAAGGCTGAACCTCAGCTCTGACTCTGCTCAGAGGCAGGGAGGCTGGCTAGGATGAGTGGCAGCTTTGAGGTGAGGATGGGGAAAGCCTGGATTTGAGGCCTGGGGTCCATTCTGAGGAATGAGCTATTCTGATGCTTTTCCCTTTTTCTTCGCTGTCTCCCCTGGCAGTCGGGGAGCCTCTACAAATGCCCAAGATTGAGAATCCGAGCCCGGAGATTGTGGCTAAATACCACGCACTCTATATCGAAGCCTTATGTAAACTGTTTGACCAGCATAAGACCAAGTTTGGCATCTCAGAGACCCAGAAGCTGGAGATAATTTGACAGACATCCCCAGCAGCCTTCAACCTGGCTGGAAGGTATGGACCCAGTGAGAACAGGAGAACAAAAGTCACCTGTGGGGCCCCTGCTCCTGATTTGACCAGTCCCAGCTGTTCATTTGCTTGTTTCCTGCACTTCTTTTCCCACTTCATTTCTTTTCCCTTCCAGCTCTTCTCTGCCTTTTTCTTGCAGCTACAGGAGAGACAGTCCCAAGAAACAGGGAAGAGCCTACGGCAGAGGGGCACAGAAGGCACTTTGGAACCAGCATTGAGGAAAACAATGGACAAAATAAAAAGCCCATCTTCTGATATGCCGTGTGCACCAACTGTTCTGTTTTGAGGGCTCTGGGATCCCTGCGCACGTCTCTCTTTCTCTAGCTCTCAAACAGCCCCATCTCCTGGCATTAAGACTCCTGTGGGACTGGGGCCTTGAGAGCCTGTGGGCTTTGAGTTCAAGCGCCACCAACTTCAAGCCATGCGACTTTGGGGCAATCAGTCACCTCTGAGCCTCCTTTCTTCATCTATAAAATGAGACTAACAATCTGTCCACTGCTTACCTCAAAGGCTATTGGGAAGTTCAAACAATACTGGATGTGATTGAACTTTGTAAACTGGGGAGCTACACCAACCATTTTCTTCTCCAATCATTTTACCCATTTCCTCTCCCTGAGCAAACAATGCCCTAAATACCCTCTGCTACCTGCTAGCCCACACTCAGTTTCCACCTCATAAAGCTGTAACAGAATAGGTTGGGCTCAGGCCTAATTTTCTCTGATGCTCCCTCAGCAACTTGCCTATACTTGCCTGGCCCTATAATTCTGCCCTTTATTTGAGAGTCAGCCAGCCTGCTCAGGATGGAAATGAGGCTCCTGGCTTTTAGCAGCCATAAAGAACTCTCCTTCTGAATGGCAAGTCTCTGACTCTTGGTCCAATGGCTGTTGCAATGACAGGTTTCAAAATTTGGCTCACAGCCCCATCATTCCATCCATCTCATGTGGGTGCCATTTGGTCTAATGATTTACCTGCATGACATTAGTCAATTTGGTCTAGAACATCCTGTGTGTTTATTGCAGTATGACCTGTTGCCTCTGCCCTGGGTGCCTGCCTCATGCGATGATTTGTATAGTGGGCAAAGACATGCTTCCACTTTTCTGCTGTCTTTGTTACTTGTTGTGCCAGAAATTACATTTTCCCTGAGCTTCCATAAGGTATTTTTAAACAGTCTGCAGCTTTCCTGTTACTGGTTTCCTTAAAAAACAAACAAACAAAAAAAACCAAAAAAAAAAAAAAAAAAAAAAAAACCTCTAAGGTGGCCAGAGGACCAGCCTGTGCTCCAACACCCAGCCCATGTATACCTGGCCATTGCAGATTTGTCGCAGTCTACTGTGTGCACATTCCTCTACCTATATGATGGTGGTGGGTGGGGGGTGAGGGATCAAAGGCTGCTGGGGTTGTGAAAAGTGCCAGAGCTCTCTTGAGCTACGTGTTCTTGAGCTGCTGTCTGGTCTTCTTCCCGTGAGTCTCTTCCTTACTCATTTTAGCTCAGGATGGATGAAGGGGAAAATAGGCAAATACTACTTTTCCAGGTAACGGTAGACGTGCAGCCTCGGCTGGGAAGGAATCAGACCAGTCTGACACACTTACTAGTTGGGCGACCCTGGGTGAGCTTCTTAAATTCTTTAAGTGTTGGTTTCCTCATCTGCAAAATGAGGAGCTGGAGGCTGGGTCTACTCAAGCTATTTGGGGCCCGGGCCTCAAGTATCTTTTGTAGACGCCACATTCTTAAGCTGAGAGTGACTCAATTCTGTGTATCGCTGCCCCAGGACAATGTTCCTTTTGGCAGGACATCTAGCCTACCGGTCATGTGGTCACAGGACAAGGCAAGCTTGTTTAACCTGTGGCCTACAGGCCGCATGCGGCCCAGGATGGCTTTAAATGGGGCCCAACACGAATTCATAAACTTTCTTAAAACATTACGAGAATTTTTTGTGATCTTTTTTTAAGCTCATCAGCTATTGTGTTAGTGTATTTTATGTGTGGCTCAAGACATTTCTTCTTCCAATATGGCCAAGGGAAGCCAAAAGATTGCACACCCTGACCTAAGGTAATGGGGATGCAGGAGTGTGGTCTGGGGCATGGAGAGGATATGGGATGTTCCAACAGGAAATTCAGACCATCTTCCTTCTGCTGCCACCTCTGAAATGGGTGTCTTGGTCCTTCCCCTAGCTTATGCGTGGCATCATTTGCAAAGAAGCACCTAACATGTAGGAAGTGCTCACGCCGATTTCAAGAACAGACGGGGAAAGCGCTTTATTTGCAAAGAATAAACCATTAATTTACACAAACTTACATCCCAGTTTATATACATTATATATAGTCTATATACACAGTATCTCACACTGGATGCTGACCCCCAAAAGCAGCATTGGGCCTGCTCCAGGCCATTCTCACAACAAAGCCCACCCCCCAATCCCAGCTGGAGGAATAAAGAAATGACACACTCAAAGCCCTCCTGGAGAGTCCTGAAATTGATTAAAAGACAAAATCAGCTTTGTTCTTTGTGCTCACAGGGCCTAGAGGACCCTCCAGGTAGGGATGGGTCCTGAGGCAGCATTACAGTAGCCTAAGGACGTGCTGGTACCGAGCCAGTCTCTGCTTTCCAGTCTAGAGGCTGGAGCTGGGAGAATGCCTTGGGAGGAGGAAGAGCTGCAGCTGCTCTCTCCCTGCCTGGCCAGGCTCCTGAATGGGGCCAAGCACTTCCAGCCTGGAGTCTGTGGGTAGAAGAAAGAAGACAGCCGTGTGGGACAGGAACTGATCTACCTCCTCACTCTGCTGAGTCTGGAGGTTGGGCCTTGCTCACCACTTGGGGTAGGTCATCTTCCCTCTCTGGGCCTCAGTTTCTACATAAGTAACATAGGGTGGAATGTAGCTTGGGCTAGATTCCCTCTAAGGGCCTTTTTAGCTCTAAATTTCTCTGAATCTATTTGCATCCACAGGAAGTTACATAAACACACACACTCATAAATGGATTAAAGTCTTCGTTTACCTCCAGGGTTCCTAGCTCTTTCCTGTTCAGCAAAAGAAATTTGGCTCAGGAAGGATGAAGGGGGAAATAGGCAAATACTACTTTGCTAGGTAACCAGTAGCCGAGCAGTCTCCGCCAGCTGTCTTTTGTGCCAGCTTGGCTGTTGAAGCCCAAGTAGCTGGCAGAGACTCCTGCCATGCAATTCTCCTTCAAACCTCTGTCATCTGCTTGCCCACAAATGTCCTCGTCCCATTCTCCATGCTAGCCTGGGTCCTCTGGCAAACTCACACCAGCATAATTCCAAACTGCACATTTATTTCCACATTCTCTCATCTGTAAATTGCTTCGCCACTTTGCCAATGACTTAGCAGCAATAGGGCTCCCCAGTTACCTATTGCTTCCCTCATCATCCCTTGCCCTCTAGAGTTCCTTTGGAAGGTTCAGAATGAATGAAGAGTCCAGTGAAAATCCTATTTCCTTTGCCATCCCCTCCATGTCTGGAGCACAACTAGGAAGACTTTTCCTCCTCTCTCCTCACACCCCTCTGGCCTCAGAACCAGTTCTCTTTTAGGTCTTCCCTCTATCCTTGACAGACCCTGGTAGTATCAAAATCTCTAAGATATGGAGGAAAGAAATAAGGAGTCACACTGGTAGTTGTGGGAAGGGGGCTGGATCCTGTAAGCTGTCTGTAGGGTAATGAAAGGAGGACCTTCCCACAGCAGGGGCTCCACACATGATGGTTGGGTGGTTCCTTGGATGCGTGAAAGAACATAAAGGCCACCAGTTCTGTGGGTCCCAGAGGCCTGCTGCTTCAACATGGTGCCAGGAAGATTCTTCTGAACATAAGAGCTCTAAGGCTGATGGCTGTTTAACAAAGAAATGTCTGACTCCTTTTGCCACAGAGCCCCTGGCAGCTAAGAGGACAGGTATTACCACTGAGGAATAAAAATGGGCATCTCTGGGTTTCTCCCTAGAGCCCTCAAGGATTTCACTTCCAAATTACCACTTTTACTGGTTCTCTCTAGACTTCAAATTCCATACAATGCTGTGGTGTAATCGAACAGCTGTAGAGTCAGACCTGGCTGAAGCCCCAGGTCTGTAACTTAAATTGGTCAATGCACTGAACCCCTCTGAGACTCATCTAAACAATGATGTTTGTCATATTATCAGCCTTGCCTTCTTCAAAGGAGATAATAAAAGATAAATTATTTTCCAAACATGAAGGAGAGGTTCTTGTGGGTTCCTGCTACAAATGCAGACTGTCCAAGGCACTTTATAGGAGTTAGGGCCAGATACATGCCTGGAGTTCACCTCACCTCGGGTTGCAAGGCTGTCGTTAGCAACCAGACAGTGGAGGCCCAGCCCATCTCCTCTCACCCTGACCCGTGAAGGGCCCTTGCTTAGAAAGAGAAGGCACAGCTGAGAAATAAGTACCTGCTGTTCTCGGTGGATTTCAGCTGCCTGAAGGAACTGATTCCCCATCTCCTGAAAAGGAAACACATTTCAGGAGCAAGAGGAGCAGACTGTACAAGGCTGGCCTTCCTAGGTTTGGGCTGGACCTAGCACCCAGAAGCCAGGCTGAGCCCAGGCAGTTTGTAGTAAGGCCCTTGAGGGTCTATCATATGATCCAGTGGGAAGCTTGGGGTTTAGGGGAAGGTGCATTTGGACCTGAACTAGGGAGCAGATCCCTGCCCAGTGCCTAGACACTGGCTTCTCCTGAGCCTGGCTTCAGGGGAGCAGCATGAGCAATCTGCACTGACCATGTTCTGCTGTGGCTTTTTGAAGCCAGAGTGAAGAAAGTCTGGGTCAGTATGGCATCAGCTGCTGGTCTTTCAGCTAAGGTCTGGTCTAATGTCCACTTGGATTGCAGCAAACTTGAACAAAATCCCTCTGTCCTATCCTCACCTCTTGCCCTTTCTAGGCCAGGTAAAAAGGCTCTACCTTGCTAATGCCCAGGAGCAGTCTACGGTTTGGGAATTTAGAAGGCTGTGGTGAGGGCTACCTGCTAAGAGTCACAAATATTAGAACTTGAAGGGACTTCTGGAGGTCATCCAGTCCAACCCTTTGTCCCCAGACAGAATTTGATTAGGATTGGATGAAAAACATTTGTACTGCTTAATAAATGGAAAATTCTCTTTGTGCCCAGGTAAACTAAAGAATATCCCACTCACATGAGCACAGGTCCCAGGTTAGGCACCTGTCTCAGACAGAGGTAGGCTCTGTGGAGAAAGAAGACATGAGTTCTAGTCGAGCTGGGAATGGGGACAATTGG